TGAAACCATGGCAAAACTATATTAAATCCTATCAAAAATCCTGTTGAAACCATGCCGAAATGGCGAAACCTCAAAATGCGAAACTCTCCCGAAACTCTAATAAACAGGAAAATTAATATAAATTGAAAAAAGAAAATTGAATTATTTAAAGATCAACTTCATTTCTGGTGATGGGTTTATCGTGATTCAACAATAAAAGAATTTCAGCATTACTTGTTTCTATTTTTACCCACATTTAAATCTTCAAAATTAAAACTCTGTACTAAAACCTGTCTTATCTAAAGGTCGTTCGTTCTACATACCAATATTGATAAACCTATTTTACTTCAAACTCAGGCACTAAAGCGCGTTTTATTAATACTATTGCGTGTTACTATTATTACGCGTAGTTAACAACTTAAAAGTCAAAATTTGAAAAAACATAAATTGACATAACTTGTATGTATGTAAAAGTTCTTCTACATACCAACATTGACTTGTCTATGTGTGTTTTAAATTCAAGCATTAAAGACAATTCGAACGCGTTTTGATTTTTTTTCATTTTATGAAATGTAATAATAAAAGAAGAAATAATAGTAATAGTTTTAATTCGTAAAAAAAGAATATGCATTTATTTTGAAAGAAAATACACGGAAAATTTTTTAATTAGTCGAACTTCTCTTTATTCGCTTAACGATCCAGAATAACCAATATCTAGCACCCACCATAATTGGATATAAAGTAATTTTATTTCGTAAATCAATCAAGATGATTACGTACAATATACAAATTAAAAATGTCAAATAAATATACAGACAGTCTAACCCCAAAGGAAACATACCAGTCGTAAAAACAATCGGCTTGTCATGTATATAACACTAAAATCATACTTACTGGTCTGATTATCTGAAGGTGATAACAAGCCCAAAGTTGTAATCTACTAATTTATCAAATTAAATCACCAAACAATCCTCCTCTTCCGGAGTGGTGACTTATCATTGTATTATTTTCTCCCTATCTAATTTCCAAAAATGTAACTCGCTTAGGAATGGAAATGATTGGTTTTTTTTAATACATATCCAAAAAAAAAGAATATACTAAAGATGTGAAATTTTGCATATATAATTTGATGACCAATATTTTTTATTTAATTATTATTAAGCATGTTTTTGTGCAAATTTTGTTTAATAATGCGCCCGACTTTTTGTTTTTGTCCAGGGATTATGCATTATGCATTACATTTTCTCTCAACTAAATATCAAATATGAATAGGAATGTGCGCATGCAAGGAAATATATGACATATCATTAATAGTTTCAATCAGTTCATTTCTATAACAATGTTTTCCATATTGCACAATTAACGTTTTTTGAATATTATCTATAACAAGAGGTGAGATTAAAGTAACATCATTGTGTATATGTGTATATATATTATAGACACTCAGCAAAGTATCCTCTTTACTATAAATTAATTTACACATTATCCTCTTTCTTTAGTGGTGTCAAAATAACCTTTGTTGATTTACGAATTTATATGCAAGATCTAACCACTACAGGACGTTTTATTTACATTGATGATGAAGTACCACTACAAGAACTAACTGACGAAGAAATTATTAGAGCAGTGAAGCCAAACCTTGAGGTTAACAATTCTGATGAGGAGGAAGAAGCGGAAATGGTACATAGTTCTTAGATAGTTTAGACACAATTAGTTACCAAGAATTAAAAACAATTTATAGTTTAAAATCAAAAATTCATAAACGCGTTCAAGATAATGAAAACAACTTACACTAGACAGTTTATATACATATATGTGTGTGTGTGTTGTGCATGAATTTGTATAAAAAATTCATCTCGTTATAAGGGACTTTTCAATTTATTTATAGTAAAGAGATTTTTCTTTATAGTAGAACTGAGTGACCACTATAACTGTAATTATTATGATGCACCGTGCCTACTACATTATTACTATTACATTTATATTAACGTGTCCAATTTTTTACAAAAGTGTAAAAATATTCAGGCGTTCTATATTAAAACTACTATGTGTGACGTAGGTCAATTGGGAAGGCCATAATTATACTGTATATCTACTCTTTAAAATATTTCTTCAATTATGCGAAACATGGTGGCACTTAATCCATGTGGCCGTTAATAATGACGATTTTGTATGTGGAAATGAAATCTATACGCGAAAAATTAAATTGACAAATCAAAAGGAATTTATTATCATAATATTAAAAAACCCATTTATGAGGAATGATCATCAAGGATATTATTATCATTCATTTTTTTTTTTTGAGAGATTGAATAGAATTAATATTTTTGTTTAGGGATTATTATTATTAAAAAATATATCGATCAAAAATATAGGTGAGTTTACTGATGTCCGTTTTGAACATAAAGATTAACTCCAGTCCCAGTCCCGGAGAGTATGATGAGAGAAAAAGCACAGAATGGTAACGGGGACTAGAGCTTCTCTTATCCTGCATCTGAGCCTTTTTGATTCTCAAGGTAAGTTGTTTACTTTATTCTTGGTATTTTGTTTTATTTTGCTATGTGCATTTGTCAATCATAGAGGAGGGCTCGATTGAAGTTTCGCAAATATATGATAGATACAGTTGTCATATACATTTCGTGTCGCTTGAATCCTGGGTTTCAAGATTTTTCAATCTTTCTAACCAGGGAGTTGCTGTGGTAATGAGATGGACAATTTAATAATTCTGACACCTATATCAATCCATTATTAAATTTTTTTTTTTTTAAACACTGGAATTCATTTCCCTGTTGATAGGAATTCATGCTATTGCCTTGAATTTTTCAGGTGAATTTACAGGCCCATCCATACCTCCTTCACGTAGTAATAGAATGACCTTTTCTATATTGAGCATGTTGGATTCTTCTGGATGGTCTTTGCTTTAGAAACATGGGAGATGCAATTTTTTGTTTTTTAGAATTAAAAAAAATTATATAAAGAAGAAATCATGTCTAGTAAATAATACGCGACATAATTATTGTACTGCGGGTTTGATATATCTCATTAATTTAATTAATAAAAAAATCTTTAATGATATTCAAGCAAAGGAATTTGGAGCAGTCATCTTAGTTGCTCTTGTATTTCAAAAATGGCGAATTTTATATCATCTATGAAGCTGTAAATTACTCTGTTGTTATGTTGTGTAATCCTACGAAACAGACTTAGTCCTGATGGTTCTCTTGGACGTTTTCTTAAAATATGTCGGCCTGGAACTATAATAATAAATTTCATGGAAAACAACTCTATAAACAGGTTATGGCATAAATTTCAACAAATAAAATAGTGTTCGTATCGCAATCCAAAAAGGAGACAAAGTGGTCGCAATCAGATGTCACAATCATTTTTATACGACACAAAGGTAATTGCAACCATCATCAAAAGTTGCAGCCAAGTATTCTTGAACCAATCACATGTTTTACAAAATCCTTGTTTATTTTTTGATATAAATAAATTCAATTTGGGAAAATAACTTGCATGATAAATTTATATATAAAAATAATAAATTTTCACGTTACCTTTTTACTACTACCAATTGGGAAGGTAACTATTCTGAATTTCTGTTGAAAAAAAAAAGTATTTCAAATTTCTAGAACCCGTAACTACAATACTTAACTAATACTTATTGAGCCCAGAACGGTCTAAATAACGCTGTGTTTATTATTATTATGTAAAAATGATATAATTGATTAATAGTCTCCTGATTTGTCAACTACCAATTATAGCCCTTATATAAACAAAATAGCGTGTGTAACTAACTAATCAATATTAATATTAACATATTAACATATAACGATTGTTTTGATTCAACGTTAACTACAACATACTACTTTAATATCAACGTATCACAAAAAAGTAGTTAACTTGTTTATGCAATTCCAAAAAAATCTTTAATAAAAAAAAATGATAATAATATATGGGCATTCTGCAACAAAACCAGACAAAGTGAACATTGGTGTTACCAAGAATTTCAGGGATCAATAGTATTACTGGTGTAATGTGTCATGATATTTGTCCAGACAAAAATACCTAATATGAAACTCATACATTAGGTCTACCATGGAACCCAAAAATTACAGCACCATTAGAAGCATTTTGAAAAAAGAACAAGGTGAAAAAATTGCTCCTTATATTTTCAAAATAAATGATACTCAGGCACTAGAAGCTTATCTAAGAAAAGAAAGGATTACCTATGAAATTTACCAAGAAGAAAGAAAAATAATGAATGTTAGCTTGCATTATTACCCAATAAAAAGCAAAAATCTTTAAAAGGAAAATAACTACCATTTTATTTGATAGTTAGAATGAATTTTAATTTACAGAGAGGAAAACAACCAAAAATTACTTTCTTATTTTCAATCAAGATCATCTCTTAGGTTCTTCAACTTCAATTTGAGCAATTTGACCATTCTGTTGATCTTTCAATTTCCTGTTTTCTTCTTCTAGTTGTTTAATTTTTTCTTCTAAACTCTTTATCTTATCCAACAGTTCTTGCTTTTGTCTTTTACTTCACTCCTCAGATTTCTCTTGAAACTTGATTACTTCTTCCCTTTCAATGTCAAGTAACAGTTAACTCTTCTCATAAAGAGTTTATTTGCCATTCATAAAAAGCAGGCTGACTTATTTCTTCATCAGGTAAGAGGTGAAGTTCCTTTTCTTCCATATCTTCTTTGTATTTGACACAAAAACAAATATATTTACCATTAAGTACATCAAGGTAATGTCTAGTTTGTAATCTACCGCACCTATTACACTTTAACAATTCATCCTTTTCAAATTTTTCCTTACAATTTTCACAAACTACATCATCTGCAACATATTTGCCATTCATTTTAATACGACCCACTATTTGATTAACAGACTTATTATCCTCTCCATAAAGATTAGAGCAAAAATCACAAGTTTTTCAACTTGTTCTTTCTAAATCTAAAAGCATGCAAGTTAGTTCTCTCATTAATTATCTGTTTACCTCTATTCTATATAGTTCAAATTGCATTATTGAGATATAATAACTTTTTTTTTATAAACACAGAGACATGTTAAAATCACACAAATCAGGATCTATTTATACAGCATATACACATGCAAAAAAATAATTGCCTGAAATATGGACAAACCAACAAATACTTTTATTTTATAATTATTTTGCACAAGCATATAATAAACTCCATATTAAGCATTTATTTATACATAAAAATCTGTAATCCAGTAGTCCATTTTGAATAAAAGAAAAATCTCAAAACCTATTGGAAAAGCCAAGATGCAATTAATCTCTTTCTGCTTTTGGAGTTAATATAGAAATCAGTTTGATGGATTTCCTAGCCTGACAGGCCACTTGCATGTTTTCTGCATCCTCTCTAAAAATTTGTGCATTTGTAATAGCCATTTTACTTAGATGGCTAGTCCTGTTAAGAAGATTATACAAAGGCATCCTTGGTCAGAAGTAAAGACAAAACAGTAAAAAATAGATGAAAAGGAAAAACCTACTCAGTGGATTAAAAATTTTTTACATAAAAACATTGCAGTAGCAACGTTGTCTTCTTTTTTTGGTAAGTCATTAGAGGACCATTCCCATATACCAGGGTTGGCAAATGTGCAGTCCATTGATAGTCATTGGTGGTCCATTGGGTCCATTAGTGTAAACCTTTAACCATATTTAGTATTTTATTAATGGAAATGGACCAGTCCAAAATCCATCTGTTCTCAATGGACCAGTCAATTTGCCAACCCTGCCATATACCATACAAGTCACCATCAATTTGGATTAAAATATAAAATTGGATCTTCATTCCGATAACTTGAAAGAAGGGAATTGATACAAGCTTCAATGCATCCTGGATAACTGATGGGAGTGGATTGCTTCCACTTTCTTCTATACACTTTGTTTGGAAACTGGTGTGTTGCAATTGGATGACTTTTATGATTTCTACAAAATTTGTGATGCTTTTCTTGTGGTGATCTTTATGCATGGGACCAGTGTTCTCACCAATACCAATCTCATGGCCATTCTCCTATAGATTTGTTATATATAATCAGTTGACATCATGTGTTCATCAAATGTCAAGCAAAACAATTTATCCAAAAAATAAAATCAAGGCTTTTCCAGTTCATTCCAAGGATGATCAAGAAGTCTTTTCATCTCTATCTGCATTTGAATGACTTTCTCCACTACAAAGCAAAAAAAATCATTGATTATTTTAATAGTATAGACTTAATAGGGAGAACAGAATAAACAAAGAAATAGATTCTTACTATATAAATTTTACACCAGGAGTTTTTGAAAAAGGACCAATAAGATGCATATCAACAGTTCCTTCTATATGAGTCTCACCATTGTATACATGTACCCATTCACCACTATAATGATAGTGTTCATGAGTATGCATGCAATAAAAAAGAATGTCAACAGGTGTAATCAATACTATGATTAAAAAACTTACAAAGCATCCAGACTCTCACCAATATACTGTGTATCTTGATCATATATGTTCACCTTGTTGAGACTTTTATCGCCAATTCGAAGTAAAGAACAAATGCCTTTGATCCCTCAAGCTCACTTTTCCTTACTAATTTTTTTCAAATTGAAAGTGCTTGATCATAGTATCTCTAGCAGTTCCATAGCAGACAGGTTCAACTTTGATTCATTGTTTACAATTTCGATGGCTGATTGTTGCAGTCTTTGCACTTCAATATCTGAAAAAAATTCATTGGCACAAGGATGATTGAGACTTTCTTCACCCTGAGATCAATGACACCCCAACACAAAGGGCTAATGAATGTGTTAGTGAGTGTGGGTTCAAAAGGTGCAAAAGATTAATTGAAATCAAGAGTACATACTTTGTTAGACAAGCTGTCTTGCCTTCTTGTGCAACATTTATTCCTGTTATCACCTTTTCATATGAGATCAAATCACTTTTTCAAAGTCTGAAAGCAATTGCTTCTGGACATTCTTGAGAAATGATGAGAAAAAGCCAATGATTAAGAAGAGAAGATTTTCATAACTGATCTTGATATAAAGTCCTGCCATTTTTATCTTTCCTTCATCATATCTTTGGTTTTTTTTCACTGTTATAGATTTTGTACTAATGGTTCATTTGTTAACTCCAACAGATCCAACTACAGTACTGTCCATAATTGTTGGTTGATGGAAATAAACTGATGGTCCACTGACTGAATTACACATCTTGTGTTTTTTCTTCCAATTTCATGCTATTCTATGATTAGGACGTTCACCCTAAACCAAAAAAAAAAAAAAAAAAAAACCATTAATGATATTTTCAATTGGTACTTTCACATGTCACCTGGATTAATAATATGGATTAATAATATGAATTTATCATAAAGAATTAATTTTCAGTCTTATTTTTATCATTTTTATCCCGTCCGGTTGGCCTCGAAGGATTAAACACCAGATGAACTCGAAGTTACCTGGTGCCCCAACACACTGGCTTTGTGGCTCAACTCAAAGTCTTGAATGATAAGAATTCTCAAAGAACCTTACCACGCCACTTGTGTTTCCAACAAATAAAGGCTCATACTTATCTCCCTATAATTATGCAGCAGTAATTGTGCTTTGTGGCGTTGCTTCTTGCTTTCTCCTATGTTAGCGATAGTCTCAAGTGATGTAATATAAGATTCTATTTTGCGGTAATGCCACATTTTTCCAGAAATCGGTAATGACCTTTCGAAATATTCGTGTATCTGTTTTTAGGCATAAGTGAAAAGTCTGAAATTTATGATTATGCATAAAAAAATCGAAAAGTTCATCCGTAATACTACTACTTTAGTTTTATGAGAGTTCCATTTGAAAAAATTGTTTTCGCAAAGAAAATGCATAAATGTATTATGACACGAGTTTATTAATCGAATTAGTATTAGGGTATCAACCAGGGGATTTACTAATTGAAGGAAATAATCGACTGTGTTTGTAAGATTTGTTATACAACATACAAAATTTATATATATCACACAAAATTTTTATGCAAAACAATAGAATAAATGTCAAAAAACATGAATTTGTATATAGTAGTGAATGGGTTCTTTATTTTTCGTATGTTAAATTTGTGACGAAGCCGTCGTTTTGAATAATAAGAAATTTACTATGAAATTAGCCCCTATACTTTTATAAAAAATTCCCCTGGTTGATAAAAGAACTGCGAATTAATGATATATACAATAATGATATTAAACCCTAAAATTCTTGGTAATACAAATGTTCACTTTTGTCTGGTATGCTCCATATAGATTTAATTGAAAGCTTCACTTCGGCTGATATACAAAATTAGGAAGGGCCAATTCTTTGATTACTCTATTTAGAAAGAATTTCAATCCCTCAAATAGAAATCTTCCGATAATGAATAATAGAAATGAGTGATCGATTATAGTAGAGACAAGTTGAAAGATTTTTGCCTATAACTCTTTTCTATTCTACTCTCGTGAATGTGAATTTTTAAAGCTTTCATGACAGATAATAAAATATACAGCCTCAAAATAAACCAAAGATTTATCGCGCATTAGGAAAATAACGTAATAGCTGATGGGAATTCAAAAGGCTGCGTATGAGATACGTTTTTTTTTAAAGGTAAAAAGATTAAATTTAAATAATCATTCTTGAACCAGAAAGAAACACAAGGAAACAAAAGTAAACTATACAATATTATTGTATTTTCAATATTTGGATAAGCGGATGGAGCAACTAAAACTACCTAAAAAAGAAAGACATGCATAATCTTACGATTAGAATTTCATTATTGACCTTTTATATTGTTGACAAACTTGTCGCCACAATACAACAATTTTTCATAACATTCAAAAGTTTCGATATAAATTTAAAAAACATGAATAATTATTTTATAGAAGCGAACCATGCTTTCTCCATTTAGACGCATTCCATCCATGTAGAATGCATTTGACTTTGACTTTGGAAACCCAAAATTACACTAAATTCAAAACGAAAAAGTATTTGTCTAATCTATTATTAAGCATCTAAGCCACAATTATTAAAAACTCCCTCTTCGTTGAAGATGTTCCCTTGCAGAAGTTCTGTACGGATAACCATTATTCTTTTCGTTCATCACCAACAAAAGAAAAAAAATATTAATTATACTAAAAACAAACTAAAAAAACAAATTTAAATTTTATACTTACTCTTTTTGATTCATAATCGGCAATTTTATTTAACGGAATCAAAATCAATAAAAACAAAAGACTTAAACCAACCAAAACATAAAGTAAATTAATCTTTTTTTCCCCAAAACAAATTTATTAGTAAAAAAATTTTTTTTTTTGAACAGCAAACATAGAAATAGAAAATAAGAAAATAGGAGGAAACCTTGTTTGTAGTAGAAGGTATATCGTTAAATCCTTCGTATAATTTAGTCATTAAATTATAATGACTTGCCAAATATCCGATTCCAAAAGAGGATAATGTGCCCAAGAGATAGGCGTACATATGTATTTTGATTATTTTTCTTTTGGGAATGCAAAAAAAAAATATTTTTTAAAAATAAAATATTTGAGTTAAATTTATAATGTAAATAGATTAGTATCACACAATGAACTTTATTCGTTCTCATTCTTTAAAAAAATTTTATTTTTAAAATATTATTAATTTTTATATATGTTTATGATACAATATATGGGATATTATGATATATTATGATATTATGATATTATAAATTTTATATACAAAAAATAACAAAAAAAAAATTTTTATAAAAAAAAAGTATAACTAAAAACCACAATAAAAAAAATCATTCTTCGGAAATTTCATAAGCAATTATTTCTTCGAATTGTTCAATTAATCTTGGATAAGGATTTAATATATTATAAATTGACTCTTCCCATTCAATGTCTGTCATTTCATTCCTTGATTTTAACAAAATATTTTTAAACTCTTCGTAAGGAGTTTTTTCCTCCTGTTCAACATTATTACTATTATTGGTAGATTTTTTGTCCAATGTTTGTTTTAAATTTACGAAAAATTGTGGATAAGAAGATTCGAAATTTTCTAAAATTTTTGGGAAATCACGAATTAATGTCACGTCAATAAAATTATTATTCTGATAATAATAATTATCTTTATAAAATTGATCAAGATAAGCGTTGTCACGATATATGTTGTCATCATTTACTAATGTATCATTAATTACATCATCGTCATCATCGTCATCATCGTCATAATATCCAACAATTTCTTTAAACTTAACCAAAAATAGAGGATTTTCCTTCAAATAACTCTCGATACATTTCATCCATTTTTTATCGGAAATTTCTTCACGCTTGGAATACAAAAGATTTAAAAACTCTTGCCAAGTATTACAAGTAGCACCGTTGTTATCAGAAATAAATTGTTTGACCCCATCAAAATAATCTTTATTAATAATAAATAACTCCTTCATTTCCGTGTCACGTTCCAATAATGACACACGTATTTCATCGGAATTGTTTAGTAACTTTGCCGATATATCAATAGAATTAAAATTTTCTGCTAAAGAATCATATTCATCAGAGCTATTATCACCACCATCTTCAATGCTCATCTCGACATCGTCATCGTATTCAATAAAAGATTTGTTATTATGAAAATTCTTATTATCTTCTGGAATATTAAAAGAAACCGACCGTTTTTCAAATAATGTTGTATAATCAGGTGGTGTAAGTGGTAATGAGTTATTGTTACTAATATTGATGCCGTCGACAGTATTGGAGTTTTTGATAAGAATACTTCTAATGATTGGTTCTGATGGTGGAGTCAAAATAGGAGACGACGTCGATGACGACGACGATAACGATGTCAATGATGATGAACCCAAAGTATCAACAGAGTTGTTGGCATTAGTTTTTGAAAAAGGAATAGCGCGAAAATTTGACATTTTTAAAAGAATTTTTTGTTTGTTTTTTTTTAAATAGGAACAAGACAGAAAAAAAGAATTTTTATTAAAAGGGAAAATGATTGATAAAATGAAGGACAAAATATCGTGTATATATATTTTTAGTTTTTTTTTTATGTATTATATATTATATTGTAACTATGCAATTTTACATCACATCTATTTTCTTTGAAAGAAACTATGTGTACCACTTATTGTTATTTAACTTTGTAGAACAGTTCCATCATCGTCATAAGCGCCCAGAAATTTTTAATTAATTTTATTCATCGAAACTAAAGATAATACACACGCACACCTTTTGGTAAATTATGACATGATAGAACATTTAGACTAAACCAAACCAATTAGTCAATTATTTCATGGGGCGTAATTTTTAATTAAACTAACTTTGTTCATTCATATTGTTTATAAATTAAGTTTTTTTGTTTTCTTTTTTATTTATCAAATTTTATCATTTTTTTTTTTCGGAAAATTCAAATTAATTTACTCCACACTTTTGAAAAATTTGTAATTAAAAAGCTCATCCAAAAATTAGAAGCTATGAAACTATTATACAATCTCGTGCTTATCTTGATCAAATCACTCAATCAATCTCAATCAATTAATAAGTTGTACACAAAGCATTCTCTTGCAGAAACACATTCACAAATAAGGAAATCGGGATTTATTTTGTGAATATCAAAAACCATCACATGGTTATTAATTGTATATAATAAAAATAAATAAATAATCCTGAATAGGTTAAAAATATTTTTTTTTTCATTGATTATGATAGATAAATGAGACAAGTGTACATATTTTTCCGCAGCATATTATTGGTGATTAAATTGGCGATCACGGAAGCATCGTGATAAAAATAGAAATAGTAATAGAGAGAAATAAGAAATATAAAAATGGTGGTGATGGTGATGGCAATACCCAAAATTTTTTTTCTCTGTTTCCAGAGAATTCAAAATGACTTTTCTTTGAATTTTTTTGTTATCAACAGGAAATGGTCATTGCAAACCCTTTTGAAGAAACAAAACTAATAGAAGATCCGTTATAATGAAAATCTTTTTTTGTAGAAATCCTGCAACTGGATGTTATTACACTATACTTTTTTTGGTAATTAAAATGCCCAATTGCTAATACGGTTTTATGCACATGGTTATCATCATCATTATTGACAAAGTGAACATAGCGAGCGCCATTGGTGGTGGTATAAAAATAATGAACCTCCCATATTAATATTCTTTATCCCATCTTATTTATGAATATAGTAAAAAAGTGCTGATTATTAAACAAATGGTAAAAGAGAAGTTGGACATCTTCTTACAAACTTTATTGTATGATCATAAGAACAAAATCCATTAGCAGGAGCACAATAGACAATAATAGAACAATTAGAACAATTAGAGTTCATGATAAGGATTATTTACTTGAACTTTGAGAAAATGCAAACCTAAAAATAACCAATAAATTGAAAGATAATAAATAACTTCGTTGAAGAAGGACTTTCATTACACTATTATTTGATCATTGTCACAATGCAAAGGTTCCTGGTTAAAAGTTTTGGTGTTCAGATTACACAACGTCTCGATTTAGTATCATAATTAATGGGCTTTAACGGATTTCCCGGATATTTCTTACTAATATGGCGCGGGAAGTCTATAGCTACCATTTTTACACACGAATTTTTGTTTCCGTGTGACCATTTTAAAAAAAACTGTCAGATATATATCTTTTCAAAAATATTGATTGTTTTGATTGTAAATATGTTTTAAAATTCAGGCAAGATTGTGTAACCCATTATACAAATAACGCGTCAAGAAATTGCCTTTTTTTAAATTACATTGCATTCATTATATTTTTTTTAAAAAAAAAGAAATCGTTCAACTTGGACTAGCTATACTTGAAAAGAATTAACCTGGTCTATTCAATAGCTATCTATTAATAAAAGTATTTTCTCAAATAGAAAGTCTTTGATTTTTGTCCCAAAAATTGAAGATGATAAAATTGTTCAGATAGTGACTCTGGTGATGATGATTTGGAGCAATGAAACTTTAGATGATGCCATCAGAGACTTGGATACTCCAATTTTGAATCATCTATTGATATATGCTTGTATATACATACAGAAAATTCAGAGACAACTGTTTGTCGTAAAATGGCCAGGGCTGGCAACGTAAAGGGGTTAAAATTCTACTAAACTTGATTTAACATATTACTAAATAGCTTAGTCAGTTTTAGCCAAGTGCTCATTCGAGTTACGCGTAAGGCTCCACATGAGCCAGCTCGCAAGCTAGCTTGTGAGGAGCTTTAGCTACGCAACTAGCCCTGAAAACCCACAAGGCAACTGCAAATACAACTAAATTGACAAGTTTTTTTCGAAAAAAAAATAAAACATATGTTAGTAAATGTGAATAATAAAAATTTCAAGTTCTTGAATATGATAACAAACTTGGTGAGTATGATATTGATATCTACAAAGATTTAATTCTTGAAGATGACTTAAATAAAAGAGGTTCTATTATCAAACAATACCTTAATATATGTTTAGTGGGAACAAAAAAACAATGGAAGCAAGTTTGATACTTTTCAAGAATGTTGGAGGTGGAGAATACCATTATTGTATAGTTCAAAAGAATTTATTTTAAATATGTCATAATTCTAGATTCTTCTCATGGAAAACATCCAAAAAATAAAATCGTTTCTTTGGCATGAGGATGTAAAAAAATTTCATTATCATCAAAAAAGTTAGTATGTTTTCAGATTTTATGTAATCAAAAAAAATTTTCTTAATAAAAAAATTAATTACAGACCTTTCAATAACGAATAAATTCCTTTTCCTTTCGTGTTTTGGAAATGTCAATCTAGGTGTACCATCGCCTTCTGCAAAATATGTGAATTAATTGACTCCAAATAATATTTTTCCAACAATATTCACGTTGCCTGTATTTAATTTAAAAAATCAACAAAATAATGAAACCCACAAAGTATGAATTATTTAATGCAGTTCTCCTTCTCGCGCCAGTCTCTTATTACCGCTTAAACCTTTTCTTCTTTCTTCATTGGTTGTAGGAATTGGAGTCTGTCATAATTTCAAAAAAAAAAAAGATGGCCGGTCACCCATAAAAATTTTTGTGCATAAATTTTAAAGAAAAAGGAATTTAAAAGCGAATTTATCTTAATTGGAATTAACAAGCAAAAAAGATGAAAATAAGAAAACTGAGTAGCATGTCAATATTAATATGTAGGGTTTATTTTTTTCGATTTTTGTCTTTGAAGTTAATTGTGCGTAATAGTAATACGCAAAAATAAAAACGCGTTTTAATGTATGAGTTTGAACACACAACCTGGTCGATATTGGTAGAACGACTTTTACATAATATATAGGTACAAGTTTTCGAAAAGTGATAAAAAATAGAAAACAATTAAAAAAAAATCCTTTTATCACTAAAATAATGCAATTTTTATTTTTCATTATTTAACTATTAAAGTCCTCCCAATTAATATAATAATAATAAAAAGTTAAAATCAAATTAAAACGGAATGTGAGAATAAGATTTTATAGTTTTGGAATATTATTAAGTAACTAATAAACTCGCAAATAAAAATGGACATTTTTTTTTCTTACAAACATACTAATACTAATACTAATAGGAAAATACATTATTAGTATTGGATAATCTGCATTTTATTATTATAAAATTTTGTTTTGACGCGCCCAATTGCAAGCATAAGTAAAAATAAATGTAAATAAATATTTATAGTTTAAATTTTTCTTTTGAATTTATTCCTACATAAATAATAACGATTAAAATAATTAAATAATATGAGCAAGCAACAAATTGTTAAAAAGAAGAGAAATGTAAGGAAATGTTTAATATTATTATGAAAGTGCATCAACGAATTGTGATTTAAAATCAATATTAAATAACTACATATTAGCTATAAATAAGTTTTGAATATAGAATTCAGGCTTTCTTTTGAATCTCTAAGATCACTAAATTCGATCAAGTCTTACAAAAATATATGGTAATAGATAAAGAGCTATTACGTTTTGAATTTAAATATTACTCTGACCATTTAAGGGATAATATATATTAATATTATTAATACTATCATTATTAAATAGATAATGAATGGTAATTATAATATATAATATTATAATTGGGATGTCCTCCAACAATATGGGATTTGAGGCCCCTGGCCAAAATTGAGTTTTTTGCGTAATGTATATCTATATCGTAAGGATTATAGCTGGTGAAAATTTTAAACCATGTTAGTACAATAATGAGATATATGGCTTGAAATATTTACTTTACATATCAAAAACATATAACCAATTTTGATTTGATGGATTACACAAAACAATTTAATAGTCTCAAGTAATTATTAATGCAAGTAATGAATGAATCACAAAGATACCATGCTAAATATGATAAAATTTACTAATAAACAAAATAGAGAAAATCTTTCCATGATTTTATTATATAGTAAAAAAAAAGATTTATAAGGATTTAAAATCGTGCGATTTTTATTATTAAAAATTTTTTCCTTTTAAAGAAACTGCTATTAAAAAAGAATCGTAAGATTTTGATAACATTGAAAAAATCCGCCACAGAAAAATTCAGGGATCAAACACTAATATTCTAAATACTTTATTACTGTTATGGAAATTTATTATGAAAATTAATTTTAAAATAGTATTAGAATTCATTTTATCGATTCTAGTAATAGGTTGATATAAATAGTAAGTAATTATTATAAAGTTGTTTTCTTTGTCTTGGGTTTTGCCTTTTGTTGTCTCACCAAGTCAACTAATCTTGATTTTGTTGAGTCTGTTTTAATTTGATTACTTTTTCTTGTCTTTGGTTTTCTTGTTGGATATCTACTTGTTGGAGTAATTGAATCAATTAATCTTGATTTTTTTGGCTCTGTGTTAACTTTCCGAGACTGCTTATTTTTCTTAAGAAGTTCCACATTATTGACAAGCACATCTTGCATATTCCAACATTATAACAAATATAATAAATAGCCGTAACACACACAATATTTCTTTAGAATAAATAAAAGACTAATAATTTGTTTAAAATCTTGTCCATTTCTTTGTAATAAAAATAAATACCAAAAGAAAATTGCCTATTTTTAATCAAGATAAGTGATATTAGTTTTACTTGCGTAATTTGGATCATTAAAACATTTAAAAATAGAATTTTTTTAAAACAACTATATAGACGAGTTGATGATGGTAGTGGAAGTCAATAACAAGATAGCAATATATCTCCACCTACTCTACATACACTATTTGTTCTATATACCTATTCTTCGTAGAAGTTATATCAAATTTTCTTTTACTTTAAACAAAAACGTGGGAGCTTCCTGTAATTTTACTTGGTATTTTTGAAATAATTAATATAATTAATACGTTATTTGTAATATAATTAACTAACATCATAATTTATTTATAAATAAGGAACATGAGAAGATATACAGTTCATTATAAAGTGTGTGTTCACTAAGATGTTCGTTATAGAGAGAGAAATTAATTAAAAGGGAAGTTCATTATAGAGATTTTACTTAGTGTTTGTTATAGAGAGTGAACTGTAGCTTTATTTTATTTTTTTTTGTTTGCTAAAGGATGTCATAGAAGAAAAGGATAATGTTATATTAAATATTTAATATTAATTATCGGTCATTCTTTTACAAATAAAATAAAAATGATCCGTGTATAATAATAATGTTATCATGCATAATATTTTAATGATTCGCAGTCAAAAAATTATCTACTGTATCATAGTAAATTTCATGTTACCTACACTCTACCCTTAACTTGTAGCTTGATTATTTATGGCCTCAAAGGTTGTTGAAGCTAAATCAAAAGGATGGAATTATTTATTAAAAAACTTGATCGTTTTAGAATTATTTTATTATATAATTTATGACATAAGAAAATGATCATCACTGTAAAAAATTTATCCTTTCAGTTGTTATGAAAAATCGCATGACTACACTCTACCCTTAAGAAGCAAAGGCAAGTGTTTTAAGGATGGTGGTGGTGGTTATCGCCGCTTGTTGTCACTCTAGTTTATATATAAAGATTGGTGGTTATTGCAATCGTTGCCACTAGTCATCACTCCAGTTAATTATAAACTTTTTTTTTTATTAGTGAAGAAAATAAAGAAAATGAGAAGGTATTTATTTCAATCAAATATTATTTTAGTATTCAATATTGTAAACACTAATTCAACATAAAATAATTTTTATATATAATTATTCTCTGCACAAATAATCATCCTTTTTAGAGTTGGAAAAAGAAGGCAGAGGAATTGGAGTTGGAGGTGGAATGATTGAAAAGAAGATTAAAAAATATTGAAGGCAAAGATCTCAAATGTAAATGTTGGGTTATACATTGAAGGTTGATAAATATTCTAGTTATTATAAAAAATGTCAATCATTCACTGATTCATAGGTGAACCACCAATATACAAAAAATTATTTTCCATTCATTACATTTTGTTTATTTATTAGTTTGATAAATTATTTTTGATTGTTTATTTGTTTATTTGAATAAGTATTTGATATATATACTATTTACAATTTTAATTGACTTATGCTCTTTATTTTTTCATTATTATACTCCAATATTTATGTTTTATTAAAAGAAGGTAAGAATTGTTGTGGATATTATACAAATAATAATAATGTAAATGTCATTATTCATTATTCATTATTGTTTTTTTTATTATAGTTGTATCTGATCAAAAGAAGTGCAATATGAAGGTAAATTTTATTTAACATGGATTACAAGAAATCCTCTTTATACTCTTATTCATTTTTTCACCATTCATAAAACTCATTATTAGAAGAATCAGAAGATATTAATCTGGCTGGCCATCTTAAAATGCTTAAAACTAGGGCTTCAAATTATTTGTAATACAGTTGACCTTTAATTCAAATTAATTATTTGAATAAAAATTTATTTGAATTAAAAAAATTCATTTGAATTAAAAAAATTCATTTGAATTAAAAAATTTATTTGAATTAAAAAGTTTTATTTGAATTAAAATTTTAATTCACAATCAATCAGGAATTCCTTTATATTATCTTCAATTCCTTTCATTGTTCTATGAAATATATAGCCATCCAATATCTTTACATAGATTTGAATACCACAAAAACTGATTTATAGGAATCTAAAGGAGTTCATTAAAAAATTAGTAAATTCATTTTCTTATTGTTTGTATTATGTATATACACACACACACACACACTCTCTCTCTACCCAGGCAAAAGTTTGTGAACAATGTTTTTTGTTAATTATGCAAAATGCTACATATTAACAACACATAAAATTTTAATATTATACAGCCTAGGTTCTTGTTCATTTTCATATGAAATTTGATGTATTTTGTATTTCTAGTACTTTATTAATTAAAAAAAAAAATAAAAGTTGATTAAATTTTAAAATGTTTACAGTATTTTTGTGTTTTCTCAAAAATTCTCATAATAAAAATATTTAAAATTATATCATATAAAAGCTATAATTTTGGTGAATAAATTATATGATTTTAAATACTTTAATGCATCTAGATTTTATTTCTTTGTTATTTTTTTTCTAAATCATGATTTGCAAAAAAAATTCAATTTTAACTTTTTGATGATCTTTTCAAAAAAAAGTATTAATTAATAAAGTACTAGAAATACAAAATACATCAAATTTTATACAAAAACGAACAAGAACATAGGCCATATAATG